GACACTACACTGGTATTCCACTATAACCGCTTTGGCTGCCTCCTGTGGAATTGTGGGGTTTGTAGTTTAGGGAGGCCAACATGGTGTAATTGTTTGAGTGTTGGGGCTATGACTCTGGAAACCAGGATTCAAATCCCAGCTCAGCCATGGAAACCCACTGGGTGACTTTGGGCAAGTCACACTCTCTCAGCCTCAGAGGATAGCAATGGCAAACCCACTCTGGAGAAACCTGCCAAGAAAACCTCATGGTAGCTTCACCGTAAGTTGGAAATGGCTTGAAGGCACACAACAACAACAACAACTGGCTGAGAATTCTAAATGCCCCTCCCTGAACGGCAAATCCCAGGATTACACAGGAGGCAGCCATAGCACTTGAATGGAATAATAGCACTATAACGGTGTAGTGTGATATCCAGCACAATCTTAGAATGAAGGAATTCTGCTGCTGAGACATTTCTTTAGCAGAGTTTATATTTCACACATGCACATGAATCCATTGCTGGTTAAGGCAGACTGTCTTCCTTTCATTGTAGGGCAGGACGGAAGTCACAGTGTTGCAACTCATGTCAACATAATGGGGAGTCAGAAATCTTTGGTGCAGCCACTTAGGTTGCATCTGCATTGCAGAAATAATGCAGTTTGAAACTGCTTTAACTGCTGTGGCTCAATGCTATGGAATTCTGGGATCTGTAGTTGTGTGAGATATTTAGCTTTCCCTGTAAGATCGCTCTGGTGCTACAACAAACTATAAATCCCAGCTTTCCAAAGGATGGAGCTATGGTAGTTAAAGCAGTGCATTGTTTCTGCAGTGCAGACACAGCCTGAGAGATCTATTAGGAGACACAGATCAGCAGAATGAGAATGGAGAATGCTCAGGCGTCATGAAATACTGAATGACCAGGATGGGTGGATGGAGATGGAAAAACAACTGAGTCAAAAAGCTCTGGGGTAGCTAAAATTTGCAGAATACAAAATGACAAGTGAAGGATAAAAAAAATAATCCTTGGAGGAATCCCCTAAAAGCAGTCCCATGAAGACTGAGCATGCTCAATAGACACAGAATGCTGAATATGGAAGAAGTTGACCAAAAAATGGGGAGGGAGGTGACTGCAGTGGAGTGTTTGGAAGCTCAACAGGACCACTCCACATGGTGCGCCGGTTTTGTTGCAGCTCCCACTTGTTTATAAAAAAGAAAGTAATACCGGTCTAGATGAAATGTAGATAGGACTTTATTACAAGTGTACCTATGGTGTTTCCATTTTCACCAGCTGAATTGTGAGATAACAATGCTTTTGCAGTATAAGAGTACACAGAACTGCAATCATAGTAACCAGGAGGAAAGTCATGGAGTCATTTGCTTTAGGTGTTTTTATTCTTTTCTTCCCATCTGCTGCTGTGTCCTTTTTCTGTGAAGAAAATACTAACCTCCCCTTGTCCCCAGTTGTATCACTGAAGCTCTTCCTTCAGGCTCTCCCCCAGCTTAACACTAGGGGGCATCAGACACCTGAACTGCGGTAGTTTGGCTACAGCAGAATCTGCCTGCCTGCTGCAACCAGAAACCAGGGATACCTTCATTAGAATGTGCTTGCTGCAAGAGAAGAGCCGTGGGAGTTTGGAGATATTCACAGGAGAGGAAAACACTACAGCAGTACAAAGCTTTGCCTGGTATAGCGCATGGGAATGGTTTGTGATTGTAGGAGTTCAGGTTATAAAACCAGTGTCACAGTTTCCTCACATCTTTTTACCACGCTACCAAAGCAATCCTGTTCGGTTTCTAAGGTAAATGTGCAGGTGACTGCAAAATGTCATTTTACTGTATTATTAAAATCCTCTAGGTAGCACAACATCCTGTGAAGATATCTGAATGAAGGCTTGTGCAAAAAGTCACAGGCAATTATCAATAGAGAGGGATTGTGGGTCACATATCCAGACACAAGTATTTTAGTAATTATGATGCCATTTTATTCCCCAGGCTACTTTCCTCCCAGCTAAACTGGCTTAAATGTATGCAGCTTGTATGCCATCCACTTTTCTGTTTTATGACAGAAATGTTATGTTTGACTTCCTAGCTGTGCACAAAAGCAAACAAAAGCCCAACCTCGGTGCATTTTTCAAATATTTAATAGCATGGGGCCCAACACAAGACAGAAGTACAGAGGGAAGTAGACATACATGTTTTTCTCCCTTTCTCTTAGTGCAAGAACTTGAAGTCGTCTGATTAAATGGATTGGCAGTGGATTTAGATCAGATAAAAGAGAATGTTTCTTCACCAATACTTAAATAATTTATGGAATTCACTCCCACAACATACAATAATGGTCACAAGCATAGATGCCAAAGAACATTGAATACACACATGGGTGTATTGGAGATCATTCCCACTCCAGCCCACTGGCCATTTTTTCCCTACTCAGAATAATCCTCCCAGCTTTTTTCTCATCTACGGGAGAAAATAAGAATTAATCACCCTCCTATAGTAAAGATAGCCAAAGTGGCATAGTGGTTTGAGTGTTGGACTATGACTGTAGAGACCAGGGTTCATTTCCCCACTCAGCCATGGAGACCCACTGGGTGAACCTAGGCAAGCATGTGGTAAGCCACATGCTCTCAGCCTCAGGGGAAGACAATAGCAAACCTCATTTGAACAAATCTTGTCAAGAAAACATCATGATAGGGTTGTTTCAAGATCGCCGTAAGTTGGAAATGACTTGGAGACACACAACAACAACAAAACAGAAAAGAACTCATCAAATACACAGTTCCCTTTCTAGGAAAGAAGGAGAGAAATATATCAGAAAAAAAGGAGACAAAATGTGAACAACCCCCCCCCCCATATCACAGTTTGGTCTTATTTATCCTGTTTCCTATCCGTTTCACAGAATGACAATTTCTGATACAATCTACTTTGATTGTATTCAAGTACTATCATGTGCATCTTGGCATATCTTATCTAAATGTGCAAGATTTCTCAGTGATGCAGCACTAAATCAAAAGCAGAAGGCTGGTAGGTTCTGACCTTTTGATTGTTGCAAGAAAATCACTTTTACTACTCTAGTTATGCCATAAAAAGACAGGGCACTGTATCACATTCCAGTGCAGAAATGTTGTGAGAAGGTGTGAAACAATATATGTAATTTAACACATCCTGTAGGTTTCAGTCTCGAAAATGAGACCAGATCCTCTGAGGCATTTCAAGCAATTGATATGGAATCAAGTAACTTCTCTAATACTACTAAAATGAATCTCTCCACCTTTCAATTAGTCTATCGAAAATGAAAATTATGCACAAGTTCTGTGACATACGGAACTTAATTAATGTATTATCCTTCCCATCTGCTTGGCGGTAACTTAATGACAAACCATAGAAGGGACATACTGGAATTGAAGTAAGACTGCCAGAAACAGTGCAAATTGAGACCATTTTTAGGGTTAGGGTTAGGGAGTCATGGGGACTGTATTTTATTGTGGCACCAGAGCTCTCTGACAGAGAAGGCTCAATGTCTCAGAAAAAAAACCCAATTCCCATGATTCACTAGCACTACCCCTAACCCTAAAAGTGGACTCAATTTGCACTATTTCTGGCAGGTCAGATCCTATGATCTGGTCAACATTCAGCAATGTAGTTTTTTATGGGAGCAGAGGAGGATTGCTTGCTAGCATAATTTAGCATATGAAATATGTCCACAGGGAGAAGCATGGAGGCAAATACTCTTTAAAATAAAAAATATCCCTTTTCAGTAAGGACAGAAGACAAGTGCATAAAAGGTGAATATCTGAACAGATTATTTTTGTCCAATAGAGGTGAGGGGGCACAGCCCTCTCTCTTTAATGCTAAAATGATGAATGTTTCCTATGTCATGACCCCAGTCCCTCACAAATGTTGCTCTTCTGTAATCAATACGAAGGCACCATTCACTTTTAACACTGCACATATAACCTTCATTTAAGTCTTGTGTCACTAGAAATACTTGTGCTGCAATTGTATGCACGTTTACTCATGGCTACACCATATTGCAAGCACCAGCACTAGCTTTTTCACTAAACACTCATAAGACTCGATTTGGGGCTGCATCCTGCTCACTCTGCCAAATGTCAGCTGAACATTGCCAGATTTAGCTGTGAGATAACCTTTATGGTGCTGCAGGAATGATTGCCTCTGCATGGACTGGACTGTAACTGCTCCTCATATAAACAGTATGAACACAAAGAGTGGCCACAGTAATTGCCAGAAGTTTGTGCACTGCTTGTATAAAGAACATGCTGTGATTGAGGGCTATCCACATGGTAAGTATACTCCAAATGCTATATGATCCTCTCACAGAACTACCGTCCCTAGTGATTTTCCACATAAGAAGCTTAAAGTGAGAATGGGTGCTATGAGAAGCTGCATATATTCAGAAACAGACCCATAAAAATCACAAATCAGCTTTAAATCAGGAGTGCACTATAATACAATAGCAAATACCTGCCCTCTTGCATTCCCAGACAGAAAGATAAGATCTCAAATGGTTCACTGTTTGCTTGCTTGTTTTTATAACAACAACCCCCACAACCCCCACATTTATTACTTACTTGCCTCTCTCCATGGATTGAGGCAGGGAACAACAACAGATTAACAAATACATAACATCATACATAAAAAACAATTATGAGTTAAAAACATACACTATTTAAAAGGACACATAAGATACATACATATTAAAACAATCACATTTAAAATTCATCATTTAAAAATCATCTGGATAGGCCTGCCAGAAGGGACTACGGTAGTCTTTAATGCTGTTTTAAATTCAGACAGTGTATTCAGCTGTCAAATCGCTTTAAGGTAGGATAGCAAGCCTTCTAGTGGCACAAATCTTCCTTCAGGCATAAACCTTCGATTTGGGCATGAAAAGAGTTCTGTGTTACTCCAATGTTTGATGCCTAATATATATAACAACAGAAAGTTATTTGCAGTACTTACGTATGTATTTAAGCATATTGTTTCTTGGGCCACAGTTCACTTCTTCAGATACTACTCAAGGGTTGTCAGTGTAGTGCAGTGGTTTGAACATTGGATTACAACTCTGGAGGCTAGGATTCAATTCGCTGCTCAGCCATGAAACCCACTGGGTGACCTTGGGAAGGTCACACTCTCTCAGCCTCTGGGAAAGCAAGCGCAAATCTCCTCTGACAAATCTTGCCAAGAAAACCCCATGATAGGTTTGCCTAAGGGTCACGTAAGTTGGAAATGACTTGAAGGCATACAATAAAAGCAACAATGAGTCTGGAGACCGGGGTTCAAATCCCCGCTTAGCCATGCAAACCTCCTGGGTGACATTCTCTTAGCTCAGAGGAAGGCAATGGTAAACAATTCACATTCTCTTAGCTTCAGAGGAAAGCAGTGATAAACTCCCTCTGAACAAATATGCCAGCAAACCCTCTCAGGGTCGCTATAAGTTGGAAATGACCTCATGGCACACCACAACAAAAAACAAATGCTTTCTTGGGCCACAACTCACTTCTTCAGATGGGCACAACTCCAGACTGGGCAGGCAGACTAAAAACTGAAGAGGGCTCCTGTATCTTTAATGGTTGTGTAGAAGCGGGTTACTTTTGAGGCAACCAGAGAACGCTGGTAGCCCATGAAAGACCTTTTCCTGAAATAAATCAGTCTGAAAGGGGCCATAGGTTTGGAAAAGGCCAACATAACCACTGCTATGAAAACAACAGTTGCAGTAAAAGGCCGGGCTTGACCATATTCTCTTCTTCTCCAAGCCTTCTTTGGGCAGGCTTCCATGTGAACATTGGAAGTGCATCAGAAATACATCCCAGAAAATGGGGTGCGGGGGTTGTTGACCCCCCCAGAAAAGAAGTAAAGATGAGGCAGAACCTGCCTACAAACAACCTCTGCAAATTTTACTCTTTTGATAGCATTTTATATCAGCAGCCAATTGAAGAGGTGGCCTCCCCTGTTAAAAAGAAGAAGAGGAGGAGGAGGAGGAGACATTTCTGAGGGAACGAGATATTTCTGAGAGAACTGGAGGCTTTTGAGGGAACTGGATTTAGTTCTAAGCTAAGCAGCTACTTCTTAGGAAACAAGACTTGTCGGAGAGAACAAGGCACTTCTGAGGGAAGGATAGGCTTATGAAGAAATTTGTTTCTTAGGGAAAAGGCACTTTTGAGGGAAGGATAGGCTTATGAGGGAATTAGATGTTTCTGAGGGAACTTGGCAGTTCTGAGGGAAGGATAGGTTTATGGGCGAAGGAGACTATTTTGAGGGAAGGATAGGCTTTTGAGGGAATTAGATGTTTCTGATGGAGTTTGGCACTTCTGAGGTAAGGACAGTCTTATGAGGGAAGGATAGGCTTATGAGGGAACTAGATGTTTCTGAGGGAACAAGGCACTTCTGAGGGAAGGTCTTATGAGGGAAGGAGACTTTTCTGAGGGAAGGATAGGCTTATGAGGGAACTAGATGTTTCTGAGGTAACGGGGCACTTCTGAAGGGACTAGAGGCTTGTGAGGTTTAGTTTTGAGGTAAGGAGACGTTTCTGAGAGGACGAGACTCTTCCGAGGGAAGGAGGTTTAGTTCTGAGGGAAGGGGGAGGCTTCTGAAGGAACGCGGTTTAGTTTCCTCCCGCCTCATCCTTCTCCCGCTGGGAGCTGCATCTTCCCGCGGTTCCTTTTCCTCAAAGGCAAGGAAGGAAGGAAGGGGCTTGTTGGTCCACGCGGGACTCGGCTGCCACTGTCTTTGTGTGTGTGTGTGTGTGTGTGTGTGTGTGTGTGT